CCCGCCCCCGCCGCTGCTGCCCCTCCCGCTGCTGCTGCCGCTGCTGGAGCTGCTGCTGCCGCACCGGTCCTCGTAGATGGAGATCTCGATCTGGGGCGCCGTCAAGGAGCGCTGCCTGCCGCCCGGAGGCCCGGCCGGGTCCGACACCCAGCGGTGGCGGGGCGGGCACCGGCTTCGTGCCAGACCCCCGTCCAAGCCCATTGGGGCGTGACTCAGCTAACAGGGAGGCTGGAGGGCCGGGCGCCGGGTTAGGCTCACAGCCGTGACCACCCGGACAGGTCCCCGCCCTCTGGGCTCACGTGGCCGTGACTCGGGACACGCATGTACCCAGGAGGTGACCTTATTGCACGGGAAGCATGAGGACTGTGGTGTCCGGAATGCAAATCCCGCCTCACCCATGCACAGGCTACCTGCCCTTAACGCGCCTCTGTAAAACGGGGATCGAGGTAGAATCCTGGGGTTACCCTGGAGATTAGGTGAGATGATGCATGCAAAGCACCCAGCACAGAGGAAAGCTTAGATCAAATAAGCGCCTCTCGCTGGGCCTGGGAAACGTGGGCTTCGGGAACTTGTGGTGTCTTGACTTTTTTCTTCAGTTTTCCAGGAAACTGTTTTGACAATCCTCCACAGACTGGGAGTCGGGGGAGAATGTGTGCACCTGGATCACACTGTTCCAGGTGGAGGCCCCACCAGGAACGGAGGCCTTGGGGGAGCCACTCACCCTAGCCTTATGTTGCTCATCTGTGAAATGGGCCCCCCCCCGTGAGACTCAGCCAGGTCCCACGAGACTGCGGTCCTGTAAACGGGCCCTGTGGTTTGCATACCCCCGTGGAGGTCCTTGTCGTGAAGCGTGAGCCTGGGCTCAGACCCGGCTCCGACAATCCCCAGCTGCCTGGCTCAGAGCCAGGTGTCGGGAATGATCGGAGCCGCCCACCTCACAGGACACGTCCTACAAGATCCAGGAGACACCAAGCGCTGACTAAGGGCAAACCGGAAGCTCCCAAAGCCCAGTGACGTCCGGTGAGGAGGTCAGGGGACAAGGACCATGAACGTGGAAAGTCCTGGGAACCCCAGGGTGGTCTCCACTGGGGGGCAGCCCTGTACCCTGGTGTGGAACAGCCCAGAAGGATACAACCCTCATCCCACGCTCCACGGGGTCCGTGAGCAGGAGGCCCCGAGGTGCAAAGATCTTCTCGTTCTGCTCCTGGATGTAGCGGGAAATCTTCTTGAGAACCTGCGAGGAGAAGGGCGGTCAAGGCCGCGCGGGCGGCAGGGAGGCCGGGGAGGGCTGCGGGGTGCGCGGGGCGCGGCCACCTTCTCGTAGTGCGTCTCCATGCACAGGAAGATAAAGCAGGCGGTGGCGCAGGCCAGGCAGCCCTCCAGGTAGGAGCTGCCCCCGATCTTCTCGGCCTCTGCGTAGAAGCCATTGAGGGTCTTCACGGTCTCCTCAAAGAGCTGCCGTTCGATCTGCAGGGAAAGGGGACACGCGGGTACGGTCAGCCTCACTGGAGTGTGGCAGCCACGGGAGGGGCTGGAGGAGACAATGGCGGGGCCGTGTGGGTGCCGGGGTGGCACGCAGGCAGGACCAGAGAGGCCGCAGGCGGAGTGGAAAGACCCCAGGGCTTCAGGAGGCCCGTGGCCAGTCCAGACTTGGCCATCAGTTGCCTGTGTGACCTTGGACGAGAGCTTAACCAGTGAAGCCTCAGATCCCTCGTCTATAACACGGGGGCTAGGAGGGGCCGCTTGCCGTCCTTGGAAACAAGAAACTCACATGTCTTAGATCTTTTCTGCAGAAGATCAGACCTGGACACCACCCATCTTGGGGGCTGTAAGGAGGATCAGGACCAGATTCTTGGGGGCTCCCACGTTTGAATGGGGCTCTGTCTGCATGAGACTGCTTGGGGGACACCAGGAATGTCCAGGAGGGGGCTTGTCCCAGCGAGGCCCCTCGAGAGCCCCATAGCCCATGTGTTTGGGCAGTGGAGACGCTGTCCTGCCTGCCTCCGTGATCAATACTGACATGTATTCAGCGCTGTCCATGCCAGGCGTTTCTTCTGCAAGCTTTCATTTGACCCTCATGACAATTCTGCCAGAAAAACGCCACTGCCATCTCCATTTTGAGGACCGTTTGGGTCCTTCGACCACGGGCTCCGTGGTCCCAGCCCCCACCATCTCTGGCCTCCCTGCCCCCACCCCTGCTAGAGTCAGACCATGTCACAGCTCTGATCGAGCGCTTCCAAAGTCTCACCGTCTCTCTCCAAGGAAAACCCAAGAGGTCCTGGCCATGCCTGCCAGGCCCTCTGAGGCTGGCTTGCTCCCCTTCTCCCAACCCCTCCTTCTCACTCAGTCCCCTGAGTCTCGAAAATGCCTTCTCAGCCGGGCTCGGTGGCTCAGCCTGTAATCCCGCACCTTTGGGAGGCTGAGG